CTTCCGGGTTTTTTGAACATTTTAAGTATGTTAAAATAAGATTAAGGGTCTGGTTTAAACAATCAGAGGCAGGGGAATTTCAGTTGAAACCAAAACTATCTCTCTGCAGCCATAATGCAGAGCTTCAGACAAAACAACAGGACAAGATAGATGAATGTCTATCTTTGACAATTACTTGTAAAAATCAGATCTTTCAAAGGGAAAGCAATTATATTTTTTAAAGTTATACATTAAATGATTTTAAATAGGTTTTGAAATAATCTCTAAAATTATGTATGATCCTGTATGTTAGAATAACTTCTATAAAAATGTTTTAGGTAGCATTTGTTTTACAGTCCATCACATACATTTGTATTTGAAATATATGAAATTTACATGAGGCCAAATCTGTAACCTATATAATGGAAGCACAAACAGGAATTTGGCCTAGCTCTGTGGGATTTTTCACATGTTAAAATTTCTCTTTTTAAAAAAGGATAAGTTTTGCCCTGACCGGTGTGGCTCAGTTGGTTGGGCATCGTCCCGCAAAACAAAATGTTACAGGTTCAATTCCCTGTGTTCAATTCCCAGTCACAGCACAAGCCTAGTTTCAGATTTAGTCCCTGGTCTGGGTGCTTATGAGAGGCAACCAAGGTGCAACCTATCAAGAGGCAACAGATCAATGCTATTCTCCCTTCTTTCTCCCTCCCTTCCTCTCAAAAAAATAAATAAATCTTTCGTTTATAAAAAAAGGGCAAGTTTTCCTCTAACAATTTTGTCCTTCCTGCATTTCACTGCAAATGTGTTTTGGGCTTTATAAACCAGCTGAAATGAATAAGGCTTTTTCTATTTTGAGCCTATTTTCTCTCCTATGACACAGCCTGTGAGCACAGCCTGAGGAGCAGTTTTGACTGTTGACTGCTACAGGTAGATGTGGGTGGGTGGGTCACAGGAGCACAGACTATTGTTTCTGCACAACTCCCACATAAATGCTGGTGGGTTTGTTTTCATTATACACAACAGGGGGAGGACTTGTTGAACAGCCATTAAAGATCTTAGGCTCAGTCAGCTCACCAGACAGCATTTTTAAGGTTCGCTCAATGGATTGGGAAGAAAATAATTCCTGAGGGAATTGGCAATCTGTCCCTTTCCCCTTCCAATTTTCTCATGCAGCCAACTACTGGCAGGAGATGGGTAAAATTGGGGAAGCAGGCAGAGAGAGCCCCTATGGACCCAACAGCATCAGGGGTTGTTGCATAACTTCATCCCTTTACTGACTTGCAAACACCCACAAAAACAGAACAACAACAACAAAAAAACCCTACACATATTCACACAGAAAAACTTTAATTAATTTATAATGACCCCTCCCATTACCCAGTCTCAAAGACACCGATATTAAAAGAACCAAGAAAACAAAGACAGCAGCAGTGTAGAAACCTGTGATTTGTTTACTCATTATTTCATAAAAGCTACTTAATGAGATACATTATTTCCATCAAGATAATATACTTCTTTTGGGAACAGTCTTGGGGTGACAGGTAACATACACACTTAACGAGAGGAAAAAAAAAAAAAAAAGCAACCAGAAAATGGAGTTTCAGCAAAACTGAAATTGCTTTCTTGCTTTGAAAAAGAGGAAAATGTGTAAAGTTTACTTTTAGAGAGGCTCCTTATAGGGGAACACTAGTCATCATATAGGAATAATGCCCCAAAGGAAAACAAGTCACTGGCAGGCCCCATCCCAAAAAGCTATGCTAACACACAGACAAGAGCTTGTTTTAGAAAGTGTCCTCTTTTCAAATGTGTGTTGAAAAGGCAAATTTATACAATCCTGTTTTTCTTATTTAAAAAAAAAAAAAAAAAGCCTGGTTTTTATAAGTGGACAAAAACTTGTCCAACTAGTCTTAGCAACACCAGAGCACTGAAACTTCCATACCACAAGCCTTTGGGACTAAAAAGGAAATGAAATAGAGCTCAGAAACTCTCTTCCTGGGCACTCACACTGCCACCCAAAGCAGCTGGACAGACCAAGAGAGTCAAGAGCACAGGCTGGCTCACTGGTTGTGGGAGAGTCACACATCTGGCCTCATGTTGCAGGGACTGGCAGAAGTCTCAAACATGGATCTGGGTCTGGTTGAGACCAGCCTCTTCGCCCTCAGGTATCAATGCCACAACCCACACTGGGCTCTGCAGGCAACCCGATCTCAATGGAAGGGGTTCTGGAAAGATGAGAAGAATCTGAAACTAATGAATTCTCTCTTCTCAAACTGCAGTCTCATTGGGTCACTTACTGTCTGTGGGAATAGAGATGACGCTAAATGAGATATCAACTCAAAAGGCCTCTTCAGGGCCCAGAGAAAGAACAAGTTCAGCCTTATACTTTGAATTTTGGCAGTCCATAGTCAACTGAAACTTTTCAAACATGCGATGCAGCAGCAATAGGAAATCATCTAAGGCCAAATCATATCTAACATCAAAAGTCAATGGGTGCTCAGGAAAGAAAATGATGCCTTCTAAATCTAAAATTCAAGATCAACATCTAGTTGTTTATTCACATAAACTGACAGGGAAACTTTCCATCGAATCCTAGAGTTACATAGTTAAATGCCCTTATGCTATCCTGAACAAGTAGCTAATCACTGGGTAGGGGGTGGAGAACGGAGTTGGGGGACATAGTCAAAGAATTCATAAGATCTAATAACTCTCTAGAAACTAAATGCATTTCCCAGGCAGTTTTGCCAGGAGGCTTAAAAAATAATGTCACAATCAGCGAGACAAAAAGAAAAAAAAAGAAAATTAAGGTTTGTCTCTTAAAACTCCACAACGGGTTTTACTATAAGCACAAGAATTAAATTATGGTAAAAGGGAGCTATTTTTACTAAAACAGGGTAGACCAATTTATCAAAAATGCCATTTGGCTGTGTTCATTACATTCAGGAATCTAATTTACACAATAGACACTTTGGAGTAATCTATTTTAGTCAATAAATACTCAAACTCCTTTAAGTTTTAATCTTATCGGAAATACATATTTCACATAGTCTTCTTCCTAGTTAAGCGAAAAATCTGAAGAAATTTCATAACGACGATGAGTCTGCGTTATCGTTCTTATGTAGTCAAGAGCAGAAAACAAGCATATACAATTAAAGTTGTCAGACTCCATTTATATATGTTTAATCCAATCCGCTTGATTTCATACAAGCCTGCATCTGGATCTCATTTGCTTTCTTCCTAAAAGTATTGTAGGTCACAATCACCAGTCCTCCAGGTTAGGAAAGTTCGGCCAAGTTTACCTTCACGCACACCTTCGAGTTCGGAGCAGTAGCCGGCCCACAGGGACGCTGAGGGACCCCCCGGAGCGCCAAGGCGCCCTGGGCCCTTCTAAGCCGCAGACTGTCCCAGTGCTCACGGAGCTTCTGGCCCACATGCTGCTCACCTTCAACTTGGCTCATGCTACGCAAAACATCCACCTGGCAGAGTACCGAGGCTGTCCAGGCGCCGCGAGCGCGGAGCTGGCAGATTCGGGGTGAACTCCGAGGGTGCGCGGCTCCTCCGGGTGGGAGGTGGATGGCAAGAACGCGCGCCCTAGGCACGGCGGCGACTTGGGCGCCGGATGGGGAGCCCCGGCACGATCCCCCTGCGGCGTCCAGGACTCGACGCGCGGACCACGGCACCGCACGCCACAGTCCGGCGAGTCCCCTAAGGCTTTGCTTTTCAGAACCCGACCCGAAAGGGCATTTCGGAGCCTACCCGCTGCGCGCTCCATCACAGCGCGGACCCTGATGGAAGGGCAGGGCCAGGGAGGAGAGGGCCAGAGAGGAATGGGAGGGTTACTAGGAGCCGCGACAAACCCTGAGGAGCGCTGAGAAAGGGCCGCCGGGACCGGCGGCGGGGAAGAGGCGACCCCCGCACGGGCAGACTGCGCGCCGAGACTCAGCGCGGGGCCTGAGCTAGGAAAAAGTTGCAGACCCCCGCCCGTGCCCGCATTAGTGACCGCCAGACGCTCCCGGACTCCCTGACACCCGGGCTCCGCACGCGGGGCACCCCCGCAATCCCTCCCAAGTTTCCCCAAAGCGCCCCTATCCGGTTCCCTGGCCGAGGAGTTGGTCCGCGCTACTTTTGTAGGCACACAAAAGAGCGGGGCGGCTGAGGGGTCTGCGGGTGGCCCCAGGGCGCCCGCCCGGACGTAAACAAACCCCGGGGTCCGCTCTAGGAGCCCAACGCCTAGTACGGGAGCAGCAGCGCGGCCCGCCGACTGACAACCGGGGGCAGCGGCCGGGACTCCGGCCGACCGACCGGGGCCGTAGAGCAATGACGCCCGCACGCCGGGCCACCCGCCCGCCTGGCCGGAGCCGGGCCGCGCCGCCGCCGCCGCCGCCGCCGCCGGTGGCCGCTCTGACCCTCCCCCGAGCCGGCGGCACCACAGCGCCACCAGCCCCAGCTCCGCCGCGCCGGCGGCAGTGGCGGCGGCGGCTCCTCCTGGAGAAGCAGGCGCTTCACCCCCCACAGCAACTCCCCACAAACTTTCCCCAGGAATACGGCGGGCCGGGGGCGCGGGGCGTGCGGCCGGGCGCCGCCGACGGGCCGCAGCCCCCTCCCGGCGCGGCGCGGCGCGGCCGCCCGCCACCCGCTCCCCGCTCGCGTGCGCACCCCGCGAGCCGCCGGGGCCGCCCCCTCCCCGGTCCCGCGGCGGCGGCAGTGGCGGCGGCGCAGGGCCGGGGGGGCGCCCGGGGTGGGGGCCGACCCCGGGGGCAGCGGTGGCGGCGGCGGCTCCCGGCGCCATCTTGGGCTGATCGATGAATTGAACAAAGAGGATCAATTTCTGATCAAGCGAGTTATCAATGGGGGCCGGGGAGAGAGAGGGACTTGTCCCTGACTCGGCCCGGCTTTCCCCGGCACCCCCCTCCTCCCCGCCGCCGCGGCCCCCCGGCGGCCGGGCAGCCCGGGGCCCCGGGGGAGGCCGCGACCGCCCGCAGCCCCCACCCCCGGGCGAGAGGCCGAGCGCGGAGAAGCCTGACCTGCAGCTGCTGTAAATCAAAGCGCTTCCAATATTGAAACATCGATCCCACATTGGCCGCCATCTTGAGACATATTGAGACGGAGTGAGAGGCTGATAGAGAGGGGGCTGGAGTTCAGGAGCCGCCAGGAGGCAGCAGGCGGGCGGCGCCAAAACCCGGCCTGGAGCCGGCCGCCGCCGCCGCCACCGAGGACGCGGACTCCTCCTCACGGCGCCGCCGCCGCAGCCATGGCGAGCCCGAGCCGGAGCCGGAGTCGGAGCCCAAGGGCGCGGCGGCCGCCGCCCGGCCTGGCGCGAGCGGCCGCTCCCCCCTCCCCCCGCGTCCGACACCTAGCGCGCGACCCCCGCCCCTCCCGGGCCCCCAGCCCCAGCCCGAGTGGCCGCGGGCCCGGCCCCGAGGGGGCGCTGAAGGGCAACAGGAGGGGCGCTCCGAGTCCCAGCTGGAGGCCCGGGGCCCGGCTCACCTGGAGCGTGTATTGGGCCCCCAGGGGTCGCGATCACTGGCAGAGGGCCCCCACTTCAGTGCCTTAGGTTGGGGGCTGCGGGCAAGGAAACAGCGCCGCTTTCGCTCGCCCTCCAGCTGGGCGCCGAGAGCGCCGAGCTGCCGCGACCACCTGCCTGAGTCCCCACTCGGCGCCGCTGGGGCCCAAGGCGGCTGGCGTATGCGGGACGCGCTAGCCGCACACCCACCCCGTGTACCCCAGCCGGATTCAAACACTGAGCCGGCCAGGGGCAGCGTTTCATGGTGGGGGGCGTGGAGTTGCGGGAAACCACCCTGACCCTCACATAGCCGCACAAGTTAATGCCCCGCACAGAGGCAGCGCTGTCCCCGCACCTCACAGCACCGCACCGCAACCCGGGTGGCCAGCGCGATTGAGCTACGTCAGTTTAGGCCACGACAGGAAAAGTCTTGGAGCCCAGCTCCGTAATCCCCCCGCACGATTTAAGCGGAACAGTCCTGGATACTTCCTGTAGTTCAGACACCTCGGTTTTCACTCCTTTGGGTGCAGAAACTTGGAAAGTGTGGGAGCACTTATAACAGAAAGCATAGTCCTTCGTCTACAGAAATGCTGAAATTTAAACCAAAAAGTCAACTTTTGAATTTTTTCTTCGTAGAAACCAGGCAAAAACACGTTTTATGATCGTCATCTTTAATTGATTATATACACGTGTGAGTTTTTAGAGTTTCCAGTAGGAATACAGTACTTTAACTCTCTTGCACTTCATTTAAAGTGTAATTAGTTAAAACAAATCCCCAAACTCCTTAATCTTGAAATTTATATGTAAATAAAATATGTGTGGAATACAAAACAAAGCATGAGATATAAATGCTGTTCAACTGAGTTCGAAAGTTTGGCGCTGATCATTGGAGTGAATTCAGCATTTTTGAACGAAGGTACTGGAAATGAAAGTGCCTAGGATTTAGAGAACACGTAAGGTCCCTGGTTTCGCACTGCTGACCACGAGCTTCAGTTGAGTAACGTGCGGTTCATGACGTCTGGAGAGAGGGGTTCTCCTGGCGTCCCCATCGCATCCTTGACGAACATAAGGGGTAGGAATCGGGTAGGTGGGTGGGAGCGCGCGGGCGCCGGGGGGGCGCATGGGAGCCTCGGCCCCACGTGCCTTCATGCCGCGCCTTGCAGGTCAACCCGTACCTCGAACGCCGAGGGCCCCCTAGGTGTGGGGAGACAGAGCCCGACAAGCTGTCGGCCGGCGGCCGTGCTGCAGTTCAGACAGCGCCGCCCGGTAGAGGGCAGCGGCGCCCTGACACCCGCGTCCTCCGGTCCCCGCGCACGTGCCCACCGGCGCGCAGCGCGCCTGGCCACGCCCTGTCCCAGAACCAGGCCCCTGGCGGGAAATGGTATTGCCACCTCTGGCGATTCCGGTCCCGAAGAAAGGCTGTGTCTAACGATTCCTCCCCTATCCCACACTTGCTGGTACGGATGCCCTCCACTCCTATTTGTGCAGTGGCATGCTGATGAGACCTCGGGATTGCCTTAACGATGGCTAGACAAAATGTGCAGGGACTTATAAAAAAAAAATTCCTCCCTGGGGAAGGCTCAAGGAAGGATCAGGGAAATGGTTTGGATTTGGTGCAGATGTTCTCAATCTAATTATCGTGTCAATCCCCTGGGTTTGAACAAAAAAAAAAAAAAAAGTGAAATATATATGGCCTGTGTAATACTCCAGAAGTACATCTGGTTGGAATTCAGGGTTCCGAATAATCCACAGCAATATTTTAGAAATAAATTTGATGAGTATTAAATACCCTTGTTACATTTCTGGTTATATTTACATGCTAACTTAGAAAAATATTGCATTGAATAGCCCAGAGGGTGAGCTCTAAATAAAATTTAGATTTCTTGTACCAAAGCTTTGGGTTATACAAGGCTTCTTGCTCTCTATGGGGTGGGAGGAGGGAGGTTAGAATAACTTTGCCAGCACCACGAAATGTTACCACTTTAAAATGGCATCAGGATAAACCACTGATGGGAAATCATCTTAACTGAGTGAAATAATCAAGAGGGACCTAAAAAAACGTTTTAAAGTACATTTTCTTTTTCTTGAGTATGGACAGAACAAGAACAAATTATGTCTGTTTCTAGAAACTATTTTCTTTTCTCCCTCCCTCCAGATTGACTTTCAGTCTCACCACTGGAGAAGGTCAAAAAGGACCCACTGCCATCCAAATATAGTGAGTCCACAAAGCTGTGTACTGTATAAAATATTCAGCAAATAGAAAGGTTTTGAGATCTAGATCTCTATTAGCACCTACAACGACAATAGAATAATAGCTATAATCGCACAGAACAAAGTGTGAGAAACAGGCAGATTGGCAAAATAATTGGTCCAGTACCAAGAAGCATCTTGATTCAAAACTGATGTTAAAATGAAGCACAAGAAAAACAATTCAGAGGCATCCTTTTCACTTTTTGATGTTCATGCTCTCCCTTTAGGAAAACTCCCAGTTCCCAAATGTATGACTAATGTCCCCAGCTTCTAAAAATCAAATTCCAAGTAATCAGATGGGAGACTGACCAAAATGATATTTGTTCCTGACATCTTTAAATGAAATACAACCTAGCACCAAATAAGGCAACTAAATAACTAATATGTGAGACCAGAATTCCTGAATTTCTTTTCTGACCCATTTTACTTTGCCTAAGTGAAGTTCACTGGTCATACTGGGATGTGATAATACTAATGCATGTAACTTACAGAAAATTGTAAGGCACTTTTTAAAAGCTCACATATTCCTGCCCTCCTGGCATTTGGTGGATGCTCCTGTCTCCCAACATCTACATATAGTTGATTCACTCTATTAAGGTGAAAATTGGAAAATTCTCTAAAATACCATATGGGTTGATTATTACTAAATTGGTCCTCCTTTGGTAGCCCCAAGAAAGGAAAATACATTACCTTGTTTTCTAAAGATTCTAATTTAGTAATTATTCTGATACCCTTAACCTAATTCCTTGAAGGAATTAACCATCAAGAATTTCTTCCAAACTGAAAAATGTCTAACAATGTAGGGCATGATAAAAAAACAAAAAAAGACTCTTTTGTCCCTCACAAAAGAGTCTTTATGTTCTGAGATCTTATTTGTAATGGAGAAGTTGGAGAATAATCTGGAAAAAGTTGGAGAATAATCTGGAGTTTTTAAACCCAATCCAAGAGTAATGAAAAAAATCATAATTCTGAATCCCATGTACTATGCTTAAAAAGAAAACTTAAAAGATTCATTCTAAAACCTTAATGCACTTTCTGAATATTTTTGCATTCAAATTAGACTGGTTTTGAATAGTTTTCAACATGAAATATTTCAGATAACCAGAGGCAATACATAATGCTGAATGTTCACATAATTTGTTCACAAATAAACATTAAGGCATGGCTACTTTTTGATACATGGTAAAAATAAATCATACTCCCAATAAGTCATACAGGAATCTCAATTTTGCAAATATAGAAGTTGAAAATTATGTCAAGGTATTCACTCAAGTTGACTGAATTTGCACATGTTTTAAATTTAGGAATAGTTAAGGCCAGACAGAAGATTTAAGACACTTTAAATTTGAAAAAGTCTTTTCCTTAAAATCTAAAGATTATGAGCCCTGATCAGCATGGCTCAGTTAGTTGAGCATTGTGCTGCAAAGCTAAAGGTTGCCTTTCGATTCCCAGTCAGGACACACGCCTGGGTTGCGGGCCAGGTCCCTGGCTGGGGCACGAGAGAAAGACAACCAGTTGATGATTCTCTCACACATAGATGTTTCTCTCCCTCTCTTTCTCCCTCCTTACCCCTCTCTCTAAAAATGAATAAATAAAATCTTTAAAAAATTATGAATAACAGAGGGAAATTACACTCTCTTCCTTTTGTCTTTGGTGACTGCCTTCCAGAACAATTTGGCATAGACTACTGGAATAAATAAAAGAAAGATTCCAGATTCTTTCTCTCTCTTTCACACACTCTCTCTCTCTGTGTCGCGCGCCTGCGCGCACAATGCTCAAGCAAACCAAACTACTTTTATTTGTTTTGTGTTTTAAATAATACTTTATGTTAATTATTTCTAAGTACACTATTCACTGTACTATGTAAATACCAACCAAATAAAAGTACACATTTTGCTACATGTAATTACATGCATAGTACATAATTCATCTCTATACGCCAAATGTATGTGTAGTTATATAATTGTACCAAGAACCTGCCAAACTTGTAAGAACAAACTATAATGATTTCTGAACAGTAGACTCTCCTATTCACCACCTTCTCAGCCTCTCTCTGGTGACAGCATCTCTCAGTCTCTAAGACCCTTTTTGGAATCTTCAAAGACTTAATTTCTGGCCCACCATTTAATTCGGCCTTCCACTTCTGGACGGCATATGTCGATGCCACTAGCTCTCTCTAGCTATCTTTCTACACCTCTAATGATTATGTTCTGTTCTCCTTCGCTTGTCTTAAACAAGAAAACTTGCAGCTCTGTCTTTCAGATGGAGGGGGCTTTGACTTGGAAAATACATCTAGTTTAATGGACTCAACCACTCACTGTTTTGGGACTTTCAAGTCCCTAAGAGGGATCTGGGGCTTCTCATGACCCCACAAGTTCTCAAACCCCACCCCACCAGTCACACACCCTCCCATCCCAGTCTCTTTTAACAAACTTATAATCTAATATCAATTTCCCTGAAATGTTGAGTTTATTGGAATATCACATCTCATTTTCCCCTTTTTATCTCTTTCTTATCATAAGATGCCCTTGTAAATGTCATACTGCAAATTTCCTGTACA